CCATCTGCAACAACTACGACCGGAGTCGCAATCTGGAAAACGTCAGCGCCTGCAGGAGTGGGCACAGAGCCAGGCCTAACACAGCCGTACGTGGGGTTAGAGGGGCACTAGGGGGCGCTGTGCGAGTCGGCAGTGATTCTGACACAGGTGGACACTAGAGGGCACCATGTTAGAGTGGCAGGCGCCTTCCTGGCCCCACCTCACCATGGAAAGCAAGCCCAGGGCTCTTGTCCTTGGTGTGAGCGCATTAGGACCGCAGAGGTTCTGGCAGCTGGTGGAGGGTCCCCTGCTCCTGCTTCTATTGCTGCCTGCAGGTGAGGTCCAGTTGTTCCCGAAACTATGGCTTCTCCATCTGTCCGCGACCGGTCCCTACCCATCCAGAGTCACACAAAAGCAGGGCCACAGCCATCTTGGAGGCTCAGTGCACGGGGGAGGGGGTGGGTGGATAACTTAGTAAGCAAATTAGAGCTTCTCCAACCGTCTCCTTCTCCTAGGCTTTCTCATCCATCCCATCCATCCCGGTGAAAACTTGAGTCCGGGAGAGGAAGGGCATAAGGGTAAAGAGCATGGGTGGGGTAATCTCTAAACTGGGCTCCACCCACCTAACCCCCACCTCCTCACTGCTCCCTCACACACACCCCCTGCAATTTCAAGACAAATAGACGTTTATAGGTGCAGAATGCCTTCCTCCCTTTTGTCTGGCTGCCTCAGCCAAGCACCTTTCATATTGTAGTGCCTGGGAATGTCATTCCACATCTCCTCTAGTGCCCCTTTGCACTTGGGCAGGCAGGCAAATGCCACCCTCTGCCCTCCCTTGCTACACCTCTGGTCTACAAGGCAGGTGCACCCAGCCCTCTGAGGAAACGGGAGGGTAGGGGAAGCGAGGAGTCCCTGGCTGACATAAACATGAAGCAAGAAAGGTTGGTAGTTAAAACCTACCCGGGGTGCCTTGGAAGACAGGCCTGGTGATCTGCTTCATAAAGGCCGCAAGCTTGAAAACCCTATGGAACAGTTCTACTCACATGCAGTCACCATGAGTCTGAACCAACTGACAGCAACCAAAAACAAAGGGGGGGGGGGAAGAGGAGGATATAAGGGTTACCCTGGAGTTAATGGCCCAGACTTCTAAAGAAGGGGTGTTCACAAGCACCCTGTGTCTTCTATCACCTCCAGCCTTCAACTGTACTGCAGAGACACAAGGCAAGGTCTTAGGGGGCCAGGACGCACCCCCAGGCAGGTGGCCCTGGCAGGTCAGCCTGCAATACAATGGCCACCACACCTGCGGTGGCACCATCCTCAACCAGCACTGGGTGCTCACTGCTGCCCACTGCTTTCCCAGGTGAGTCACCAAGGCCAGGGCAGCGCGGCATGGGGGGGTGTATCTGCCCACAGGCACAGAGGGTAGTGTCCCTGGTCAGCATGTCTCTCTTCTTTTCCTCTGGGATGCAGAGCACCATATGAGGGTATGGCAAAGGGATGATCAGTATGGAGAATAATGTAAAGGAATTTGAAGGCAGAAGGACACTATGTGACTGACAAAAACTCCTTTTTCTTGAACTTTCGTGGAAGTGATTGAAGACAGAGTGACCCACCATCAACCAAAGCATCCAAATAGGGTGCAAAGGATGGACTGGAGCTGGGAGGGTCAGGGCAGAGTTGAACAGGGTACATGGAATCTGCTGTCCCCTGTACCTGTGTAGCTTTTGGATCTGAGACAAGTCCATCATCTGTTCACAAGTTTGCTCACCTCTGCAAAGGGTGTCTGGTGTCCCAAAGTGCAAGTGTGTGGTGAGGACTGAGATAGGCTGCTCGTGGAGCACTCCAGGAACAAGTGTGCATCCCACCCCACATGCCCTGCTTCATGTGCCCCACCCACACTACATGCCCTGCTCCACATACCCTGCATCACATGTGTTCCAGGAAGGAGGTTGCACCCCACCCTATGCACCCTGTCCCATATGCTCCACCCCACGTGCCCCACCCCACATGTGTTGCCAATCCTGGCTGACTCCTGGATTGGAGCTAACTAGGCCCAGGTAAGTGAGGCAGAAGGTTAAGGTCAGACCCTTCTCAGAGCTAGGAGCCACTGGGGTGGCCTGGGGAGGGCCAGGCCTGAACCTCTGTGAGCCCCAGGTCCCAAGGTGGGGTGAATGACATGTCTCTTGAGGTCTCTCTGAACTCTGAGCCATCAATGGCACCAGATGGTAAAGTGAGAACACCCCACAGATCCATCAGTATCAATGACATGAGAGTCCTCGTGGGAATCACCAACCTCAAGAAAAGAAGCTGGAAAAGCCAGAAGACCAGGATAAAGCAGTTTTTCCTGCACCCGACTTACACACGCAGGCAGGCACTCACTGGTGGTGACATCGCTCTCCTGCAGCTGAGGAACCCTGTGAGATTCTCCACTTTTGTCCGCCCGGTCAGCCTCCCACCCCCAGCTTTCCAGATGCAGCTGCAAGGAGAGTGCTGGGTCACAGGCTGGGGTCAGGTGCACTATAAAGGTGAGGAGAGGCAGGGAGGGGCTGGCACTCCTCCGCATCCATCTTGAAACTCAGAGTCATCCCACAAGTACATCTGGGTCTCTCAATCATTAGGCCAGATTAGCATTCTGAGATAGACAAGATGAGTCTTGGAGAGAAAGAATTGCGGCTCAGAGACTGGCCTCCTGTGTCTTGCCTCTGCAGGATGTTTGAGCCTGACTTGGGAGACTGGATACTCCTCTGTGTTCTGGGTGGGTTGAGGCAAAGAGCAGGCCTCAGAGAGTTGAGCACAGGGAAGAGTGGATTTAGCTATGCCACCTGGGTGGCACTGTGGTCAGGCTGGGTGGGGCTTCACCCCAGAGTGAGACCAAAGAGGGCCGTGAGCCCCTGGAGGTCACTCATCCCCAGGCTCCTCCTCCGCTTCAACCTAAGGCAAGATGTTCTCTCCAGCCCTATGTCCCAAGCCTGGGAAGGGTTTGTAAATTTCAATTCAGCATTGCCAGACCTTCCTCTCTTGGAAGGCTGGAGCCTCAGCATCTAAGTTTTTAATCTCCTTCAGTGGCAGAAGAGTAGCCAGGGCAGGGACAAGATCACAAGAGAAAAGCTCAGCCCTCACCACAAAAGGCTGGACCCTGGGCACTGATCAGCACATGCCCAATGATGTGCAGATGGATGTGGAGTAGCTGTATACAGAGTGGTGGCCGGGTGGATGGGCTCTGTCATCGGGGGTGTGAAGCTGCAGCTTACCTTCAGGAAGCTGTCATGCAGAGGATGGGTGGAGCAGAAGGCAGAGCTGAGGAGACCACTGAGCTGATGGATGGACGGAGTGGTGAGCTCTGAGCAAGACCAAGCGGTGACCATGGGGAGGGGAGAAGTACGGGACAGTGGCTCAGCTGGATAATAAAGGAGAGGCAAGGGCAGAAGAGAAGGAGGTGTCCTAGAACATTCTCCAATTCCTGGAGCCCTTGGGATCAGAGATGGGTTGTTGAGACCTTCAGGGTCTCCATAGCTACCTTATACTCACATTTCTGCATGTCTCTAAGCCTAGGCAAAGTAGTTCAGCCTTGCCCTGCACTGCCCACTCTGTCAACCTATCTATCCATCTCTGACTGGCCTACCCGCCTCCCCATCCTCCAGTCCTCCAGAGCTTGCGCTCCAGGCTCCACCTTCACTCTACCAGTGATCCTGGTCTGGTAGGGATGAGCCGTCATGGCCCAAGCCTGAGGCTTAATGGCAAGGGGTGGGGGGTGGGGCTCAGTGCTAACTGAAGTGACAGGTGACAGGACATAATGGGACAGACAGGCTGGTGACAGGCACTTCTATTCACATGTCTGTCCATGAGTGCTGCCCACAGAGGGGCACACATGTGTAGATGTTAAACTGCATCTTCATCACAGGCCTCAGGAGCCACTCTGTTCTGCATGGCCACAGCCTTGTTCTTTCTCTGTGTTTCCAGCATTTCTCTTCCCTCCCCGTGAAGGCAGACATGTTCTGGGCTAGAGCCAAGTGCATTCTACTCTGCCCCTCAGTGGTCATGACCTTGGGGAGGTTGTGTGAGCCTCCCTGACTGTGTCTCTGTCTCCTCATCTGTAAAATGGATAGCACAGAGCCCCTGGAGGCAGCTCCCAATGGGGCCCCTGGTTCATACCCATGCATGCTCACCCAGCAGTGGGCATCCTGGGTCATGTGGAGTGGGGTCCAAGAGGGAGCCCACCTCCACAAGCCCCTCTCCACAGAGAAACCGGTGATGACCCTCCAGGAGGCCCAAGTGTTCATCATGAACAACACCTACTGTGAGCTGTACCTGGGCCTCCCTCACTCCACTCATAGCACAATGCTGTGCGCAGCCAACCTCAGGGACAAAGCCATGGCCTGTATGGTAAGAGCCTCCAGCTAAGCCCCTACCCCCATAGAGACACACCAGCCACCACCCCCCAAAGAAGCCCCAGTCTCTCCGTATCATTGAGCCCCATGTGTGGGACCACAACATCAGCAAGTTCTTCCTGAATAGGTTCACTCTTTCTTAACAAGCATCATTGGGAAACATGGAGTCAGAGCCCCATCCTTCTGAGTGACTTGACTCCATGAAGCCTCAGGGATGCCCTCCACCCATCCACATCTTCAAGGATTGGGAAGGCAGCACGCGAGGAGTCTTAGGGAGTAGAAATTCTGTCTGTGTCAGCTGGGAAAAGAGCTTTCTCTGCTGCAGATTAGCAGGAAATTTGGATAGCAAAGGCCTTCAGGTGGGGGATTCCTGGGCATCACCTCAGGAATGATGAGCCACAGTCCTCCTCCTTTTCCTCTCAGGGTGACTCCGGGGGCCCTCTAGTCTGCAAGGTGAATGGCACCTGGCTGCAGCTTGGGGTAGTGAGCTGTGGCAGGGTGTGCCTACCCACTGTGGCCCCCAACCTGTACACCTGCGTCTCCCACTTCTCTGCCTGGATTACCAAGAACATCAGGGCTCCCCAGGCTGCTGGGACCTGGCCCTCGCCCTTGACCTTGCTGTTGCAACTGCTGCTACCACTCCTCACTACCCTGTGACCATCTCCTACCCTCATCCCTGCACCGTCTCTCACCCACTGGTGCCCACCCACCACAGCCTTTCCCCCTCCCCCTCATCCCAATCCAGGACCCTCCCTCCTTCTTCCACATCCTTACCCTGTCCCTGATTCCTGTTGGGGGCTCCCTGCACCCTGTTCCTCAGGACAATGGGTGTCAGGCAGGGAAAAGATGCTGGCTGCTGGGTAGATGCACAGACCTGGAGCTAATGAGAATTATACACACATAAAGCAGCAGGCCTTGTTCATGCTCAGCAAATTGACAGTTCTGTGTGCTAGGTGAGACACCTTTGCTGGACAGCCCCACAGACAGGGGTTGCCACTGGAAGGGCCACTGTGACCTTAAGGAAAATCAACACTAAGACTGTGGGAAAAGGGAATAAGAAAGAGGTGCAGTGTCAGCAGGGGCCCCATTAGCCTCACTGGGGCCTCATCCCCCAACTCTCACAACTGTGAGAGAGGAGCTTCCATTCCTTGACTGTCTTCAAAGAACTTCTTGAAGAGAGAGTCCCAGATTCACTGCTAAATGATATTGGAAGGGACCCACAACTCCCATTGTGTCAGCCAGCAAGTCCCCAGACCCAGCCAGCTTCTGAACCCTTGTCCCAAGGCCTCATTAACCTTGGGAAAATGGGCAAGGACTGGGCAGGATATCAGCTTGTACTTGAACAGAAGAGAAGCCCCCACTTGGGGAGAAGCCCACTGGCATAGTTTAGGCTAAGAGGTTGCTTCTGTGAAAGCCCCTCAGGGCAGGACTACACATGTAGCTAGGTCATTGAGGAAATGGCCCAGTCATCCTGCTGCTTCTAGGGCACTCCTGAGTGTGGACTGAGACAGGAGTGTGGACAGTAGGGAAGTGGAGTCCAGGACACCAGGGCAGTGGCCTATAGGACAGCAGTGGGTCAGAGACAGCTATATAGTCCCCAGTCCTGGCTGCCCTGGGCACTGCCCCAGCCACTCATCAAACCTCCCTCCACCTTCCTCTTCAAGCCCCCAGCACCCACCATCACAGAAGGGGAAAATGAGAACTGGTGGGGAAGGTGCTGCAGAGGGTCATGGGAAGGTGGGGGCTGAGTTCTGCCCACTCAGGCCTCATTCTTGAGGACTCCCTCACACTCCTTGGTCTCCCTTTTACCACAGCCCTCTGGGCATCTCTCTTCTCCCCAGTGGCGAAGGCTTCGTGAGATCCACTGGGCTTCAGCGCAGCAGCCTGGAGGGCTGCCCAATGAACACAGCCCCTCTGCATCACAAAACAGCCATCTCACCCCCTGCCTCCCACCACACCCCCAAGCCCCTGGTGTCAACTCCCCACCATAGATTAATGAGCAAAACAGACACGCCCAGTAAAACATGGGGCTTGGACTCTGGCGGGCCAGGACATGCCCAAGGCGGGGATCACATTCTGTTCTTTTCCGAGCCGGCCCATTCATCTTCAGAGGAGGGCGGCTGAGCGCCCAGGGTCCCCAATGAGTCAGCAGAGGTGGCCAGCTGCCCCAGCCAGGCCAGGCCAGCAGAGGCCGAGGTAAGGTCATGACTGGGGCACAGGAAGGTGGGATAGTGTCAGGGAGTGACCTTCTACAGGCTGCCCAGGGGGCCACTGCCAAAGGCTCAGCAAGGCTAAGGCGGGAGGAGGTGATGGATGTGTTGGTGTGGGGCAGGAGAAGGTGGAGCCCAGATGGACCCTGCACCATCACCAAGTCCCAGAAAGGGGATGGTGTCCCATGCCCCAGCTCCCTCTGCCCAGCTCAGGTTCAGAAAGAGCTGATCTTGAGGGGATGGGGTGGGATGCTTGTTCTTATACTTCACCATCCCCCAGCCTTAGTCCAGAGCTGGCAAAAATACATATGGATATACATACAATTTTTTAAAAGCAGCCAAGAGAGCTGTATGGAATTACAGTGTCTCCCCCTCCCCAGGACCTCTGCCCCACCCTCTGTCCTCTGGGTTGCTCTCCAGGCCTATGCTCCCTGAGTCCCTCTAGGGGAGCCAGGAGAGCCTGTTCCCTATGTGTCCCCTGTCTGGACCCAGGTGAGGGGTGGCCACTGCAGTGGGAGGGTGCAAGATGAGGGTTTCCTAAGGTTGAGGCAGTCTGAAGGTAAGGGGGCAGGGCTCAGTGAGTCTCAGATCTGAGAGCTCCCACCCCACATGCCCTAGCCAGGGGGAGGAAGGAGCTGCCTCCAGGGCTTCCCGCCCGCCCTGCTCTCCTGTGCCGGAGCCAGCCAGCCTCTCAGCCTCTAAGTGGGGCTCTTGGTTCTTTACGAGCCTCCCACCCCATAAAAGCGGTCGCTGCTGCGTGCCGTCCAGAACCTCTGGAAACAGCTGGCCGCAGCCTTGCGGGCCCTGCCCAGGCTCCCGGGAGGTCGGCTGGGAAAGAGAAGGACTGCTTCCGACTGTGGCAGCTTGAGCCCCGAGACCCATGAAGGCTCCTGGTGGTCCCTCTAGAGCCTGGTCACTGTGGCCTCCCCCTGGCCCACGGATGGGATGGGGACAGCTGCAGAGCGGTGGGCAGGAACCTGAGGGGAAGCAGCTGCCCTCTTGCTGACCTCCCCAAGTGAACTCCCTTCCAGGCCAGGGGCCTTCAAGAAGCAGCAGCGAAGGCCAGGCTTCCTCCCAGGAATGCAACTCGAGTGGGCGCCCCGACATCCAGTGGGATCAGGCAGGGGTTGACAAAAATGCCTCTGATTAATAAAAAGTTTGATGGAAATTTCATATGTTGACTCGGATCCTAAACATTTTCCAGGAACATCTGGTGGTGGTTGGAGCCGCCTGTTTATGTTCACAATGAGAACATTTTTTCCAATGCTGTCTGTCCCCAACGATTGTCTCCTTCTGAAGGGTCGAGGCACAGTCCCCAGGCTTGAGGTGGGTTCCAGTTGCCTCCTAAGGCGACAAAGCACACACTGTGATGGGAACTTTCCCTGTGGTCTGGAGACAGGGCTGGAAGCTGGGAGGCCCACAGAAGGGCTCTCATCCAGTTTGGCCACCTCTGATAGGGGCCTGGGGCACATCTGCCCCTGTGGGGAGGAGCACAAGGCCAGATCCTGTCCTTACTCCCCAGTCCCCTTTCTTGGACTCATTAAGCCCACAGGTGCACAGCTCCAGGGGGGATAGGAGAGCTGGACCAGCAGGAGAGGCCCAACAATGGGCAAGGACAGGCAGGGCAGCCAGGAATGGGGGAAGGTGTTGCCCACCCAGGCCCCCCAACCACATCTCCATGGCTCTTTTTGGCCCTCCCTCCCTGAAGCCTGAGTCCCATTTTCCACATCCTGGGCCTCAGCCTGCAGGGGTCATTTTAGGTAGGCTTAGCAGGGAGAGGGCAGGCACACTGTGGGTGTCATGTCCAGAGAAGACTGTACCCAGCCAAAGGATCTACCTGGGGGGATAACAAAAACAGAGTGAAGGGCAGTGCCCAGAGCCCATCTGTGTAACAGGCAGGGGTTTCTGATGACCCCAGTCACCCTACCACACAAGTCCTGGGGGCACACTGTGCTCAGAGACAGCCTCATTTTCCACAAAAACTCTGCCATGCTGGATGAGGACATGTGAACCATGGACCCCATGACATCAGAACCTGGATCCCTTGTGACAAGGCAGGTGTGTGAAGAATCTCAGGCTGGGTTCCTGGGTTGAGGCTACTCCTGAGGGCAGACCCATCTGGGCAGCTCTGTCAGGAGGGCAGGAGGACCCCCACCTGAGTCCCTGTTACCACTGGTTATCAAGAGGCCTCTGAACATCTGCTGTGAATGGGCCATCCCCAGGCTCAGGCCAGCAGGCTTTGGCCAGTGCCAGCTGGGGCACAGCCCTGTCCCACAGCTACAGCAGGCCAGCATGTGTGGTCCTTGTGGGAGTCATTCGTTTATTTTTCTTTCTTTTTCCCTCCTCTTCCTTTTTAATAAAATGCATTGGAGCAGAAGGCGGACACCACCTCCGATATCCTTGTAAAATGCAGTGTGCTCCTGGGGCAGTGAGCAGAAAGGGTTGCTCCCCCAGTGGGCAGGGGAGGGAGGTGATGCCCAGCAACAGGGATCTGGAAAGAGAAGGTCCCAGAAGGCCGAGTCTGCTGGGACAGTAAAGCCTTTCAAGGCCCTCAAGAGGCTCAGAGCATGGACCTTGGAGAGACTAACATGGGCCCTGCTGCCCACAACAGTCAGAGCTCACTCCCATCCATGCATCCCTCATCAGGGCAGAGCTGAGGGCAAGCCCAGGGATCTCCAGGGGCAGGGTGGTACCACCTCCCAGGGAAGCTCTCACTTTCATAGACAGGTTATGCCAAGAGTACCCTAGGCAAGCCCCTGCGACCTCCTATTGAAATGTGGACTTGGTGGGACCAGCGTCAGCCCCTATGTGGGGGTGAAGGTGACCTGAGAAGACCTATGTATGAGGGGAAGAGAACTCTTCTGCCTGGGTCTGAGACAACTGCATGGGGCCAGGGGATCTGGGCAGAGGGGAGCTTCTGGGTGGGGTGAAGGCAGTGGCCTCCTCGGATTGGGGAGTCAGCTCCTATCATCTCAGCACAGGCCTCAGTGCCGCCACCCCAAACATTTGCTCTGAATTATAGTCCAATGTGTTTCATAATGTTTTATGCTTTTCCCACAGAGTTAATTTTTGTGCCCTCTCCACCCCCACTGACAGGCAACTTCTCCAGTCCTGCACTAGCAATCCTACCCTTCCAAGGCTGGCCTTCACTGGTGACCTGCCATCCCCACAAGGCCACAGTGAGCCTAATGCGCTCACAATTGCCCTAGGCTCAGATGTCTACTGATGTCCACAGCCCAGAGGGTTAGGGTGTGGGTTCCCACAGCCTGAGTGTCACTAACCTAGATATCCACAGTCTGACATCCATAGCCTGGATGCCTGTGACCGAGGGAAGAGGAAAGCCCAGGCTAGCTCTCCATCACACTCCTGCAGGGCAGTGGGGTCTATGTTATCAGGTGTTACCGCCAGCCACCCACCCCATCTGCCAGAGGAGCCTGTCCTTCCGCC